CTCATGCTTTTAACTTTTACTTGCTTAATGATTTCTTTAAGGCCAGTTTTGATATTGTCCTTCAATTCGTCATTTGAGCGAGTGTCAGTTTTGCTGCACTCTGGCTTAATATATACAAATTCGCTTTTGGTTTTTTTTATTGTTTGGGTACTAGCCTTGTTTGCTGCCTTTGCAGCTGCGTTTGCATACGACATATTGGCGCTATTTTTACATTTTTCGTTGTACATTGCTTGTACTTTCTCCCTTTCGACTAATTCATTCTGGAGCATAGTCTCCAGATTTGACCACTTTTCTAATATGAACTTAATAGCACATTTATTAATTTTGTTAGATTCGGTAAAGAGGAAGCTTTCTAGGGCTTCTCTTTCTTTTTTGATGCAAATCATTCTAACTGATGATAGAATGTTTTTGCTTGTTTCAGGGGTTACTTCCCCTTTTGCCATGCCTTTCTCTTCAATTTTGGTTTCTGCCTTTTGGGCAGTAACCGGTTTTGACAACAAGTTGTCAGTTTTAAGTTTGGTTGTTTTTTGAGAAATCATATTTGTTCCCACGAGTACGGGAGGATTGTGGTCGGCCCAGGTAGCGCTCCCAATGCCTGGGTAAGCCTATTACTGCCGAGGTGTCGGCCGGTGCCTCGGAGTTGGTCGCTCGTAGCTGTTTTCCCTCACAGCCATCCACTCCTTCGGCGCGCGCCCTACCTTAGAGTTGAGATTGTTTTTATAGAGGATCCTTCCTCTTGACCCGGGCGATTAAGCCAAGGACCCCGCTCTCCAGAGACATGACCTAGAGCTTGCGGTATGTGCCGCTTTTATGTGGGATCAAAGTTGTTCTCGCCCCACAACCTTCCTCCTTTACCCGGGCTTAGGACCGGCAGCAGTGCGCGAGGACATCTGCAGGCGGAGTTAGTAGATAGGGACATTCATTCATTCATTATTTATTCTTATTCCATATAGCTCGAGCTTTCACTCATTGCTATGTAGCGTCAACTTAATAATTGTTTATTTCTCAAATTTAAATATTATATTTGTGGGTATTGTGCAGGACCTTTGGCCGTCAGTGGGCTGACGTTTCCATCCCTAACCACGTGGAGGCGGTCCTGCCTTTCTAGCTTTAGTTTTGAATTAGGTTTTAGCTTTGGTTTTGCACTGCATTTCTGGTTTTAATGGCTTGTGCTGCAAAAGCAACAAGCCCCAGGTAATTGGCTTTGGTTTCCAGGTACACATAGAAGTTTGTGTTCCCTGCTATTTCAAAGAGACTTGCCTTCTTAGTTCATCATATCTGTCGCACATGACCAGCATATGGGCGCTTGTCTCGCTTTCTCCACAGAAGGGACATTTGTCGTCTTCTGCGGCGCCCCTTGTGTAAAGTGTGTGCCTAAACGGACCGTATCCGGTCAGAATATACACGCACTCCCTACTGGGTTTAAACCACTTGTTCCTTGTAGCGTATGTTATATCGCCAATGAAACCGTAGGTTATCCTACCCGTATTTGCCAATTCTCATCTTTTCTGCCATTCCAGCTTTATTGCTTCATTTATCATTTTAACCTCCAGATTGAGGGTTTCCCTGCTTGGGTTCGCTATTGGATTGTAATTATAATTGGTCCAGCTAATTTTCTCATTACTTTTTACAAGGTTTATGATGCCTTGTTGTGTAATTTCTAGGTCTAGTGGCATTTTGCCACTTATTGTTTGTAATGCATTTGTTGCGGTGGTACGGCACGCCTTGGTAAGTGTCAGCAGAATTATTCTTTGCGCGGCGTTCAAGTTTCTAAGGTTGTGCGTGTGGGACGACTTGTCTGAAGTTTAGCCTAATATCTATAGTAATTCCCAAGTATCGTTCAGGCTATTGTTGTCAACTTTAATGATCGGTTGCCTCCCTTCATTAAATTTGCCCTTTATCATCATTGCGACAGTTTTTCCACTGCTGACTCTCACTTTATGCGTCACGCACCAGTCCTCAACGCATTTAAGAGCCATAATACCAGTTCTCTCCAGATCATTTCTGGAGTTTCCTTCAATTATTAACGCCAAGTCATCTGCGTATGCAACGGGCTCTACAGTTTCTCCTAGCTGAGCTAGACCGTCTAGAAGAACGTCCATGCAGAAGTTCCATGCAACAGGACCAATTATTGATCCTTGTGGACATCCCTTCTGCATGCTTCTTCCAACCTTCTTTGTGTTGCCTCTTACATAGGCGCTTCGCCTTTTAAAGTAGTCCTTGACTATATTTACCATGTGGCTGCTGCAGTTTGCCTGCGTCAGCCTATGTGTGATGGCGGGCCACCACAGGTTATCAAAGGCACCTTCAATATCCACAAATATAGCAAGTACATACTTCATATTCGTTGCCATGCATTTTCTAAACGTTAGCAGTGCGTCTTCCGTGGAGACGCCTGCCTTAAAGTCAAATTGTCGTGCATTGCACATGTTCATTTCTGTATAATTTGTCTTAATACGCTCTACGAGTATTTTCTCGTAGATCTTTCCCATCACTGGCAGAAGGGCAATTGGACGGTATGATTTGGCAAGCCTTCTGTTTTTGCTCCCTCGTTTGGGAATTAGACATAGGTTTGCCTGTTTCCAATCGGTAGGAAAACTGCCATCTTCGAAGCATTTATTTAGTGTACTAAGGATTGCTTGTTTGTTATGACTCCATAATTTTTTAATTATTTCGCCAGTGAAGCCGTCTTCTCCTGGGGCTTTTTTATCTTTTAGTTTTAGTAATGCCCGTTCTACATCGACAGAGTCGATGATTGGTTCGAGGTTCTGGTTTCGATATTGGCGTATATTTTCTCTAATTTTAATATGATCAGCGTTCTCTTGCTGATCGTCTGTAGGCAGGCACTTTTTAAGAAGGACGTTTACAGTTTCTTTCCATGTTTCACTGAAGTTCCCGGAAGGGAGTTCTAGTGAGCATAGAGAAGCCTTCTTGTTTATTTTATCGCATACAATTTTGTATACTATACTCCAGGGATCTTCGTTACCAACGCTTGTCACAAAGTCTCTCCATGAGGTTGTTTTACGTTCTCTAATTTCTCTGACATAGTTATTTCTTGCTCTTTTGTATGCCTGCATTTTGATTGGTACGTCATCAAGACATAGTCTCTTGGCCCGCAAGAGACACTTTTTGGTTCTATTAGTTTCCCGCCTTAGACAAGTCAGCTCCTCCAACCACCATGGCATGACCTTGCTTCCGGCTTTCCTTTTGGGCATGGATTTGTCACAGATTGCTTTTAGCTTTCTGTTAAATATCTTAATAGCCCTATTTGGGTCTAACCTCTGCAGAGACTCCAGACTTTGTTGGTCGAATTCCCTCTCCACCAGTTCCCCGAACCTGTCCTACTTAGCCTTTCTTGTGTTATAGCCTGTTTGGTTCTTTATTTGTCTTGTGACTGATGCTTCAAGCACTACTTCAAATGTTAAAAGGCTGTGATCACTGGTGGTCGCTATATCACTCACATTCCAGTTGATCACTTTTGAAGACATATTCGGGGTTGTAAGTGTTACGTCTATATTTGTGTCCCCAGCTTCACTTTGGTATGTGTAGTTGTGACTAGGCTCATTCAAAACAACTAGGTTATTAGAGGCGATCCACTCCTCTAGTTCCTTACCTCTGCTATCCAGAGTTTTCGAAAACCACAGACCAGATTTTGCATTTGCGTCTGTCGTGAGTATGATGCGGCGGCCGGCCAGGTTCCTGAGGATTCTGTCCAGCTTTCGCAGGAAGATACTTATGTCGACTGAGAACTGCATGTAGCAGTTTACGAGATACAAGCTTTCTTTACAAGTACATATCTCTACGCACATTATATGATCACATTCCAGCTCTGACCTTTGAAAGATATCATATTCTCCGTCTCTTATTACGATTGCAACCCAAGGATTGGTCGTTTCCGGTTGTAGTACTCTCAGTCCTGCTGAGGTGTACCCTTTTATCATGCCCGTTATTGAGTAAGGTTCTTGAATACAGAGTATGTCAAGTCCTAACTGATGAAAAATAAGTTCTAGGTTGGCTGCTGCGGATTTAGACCTTTGTGCGTTAACTTGGGCTGCTTTTAGTCCCATGAAATTTTATTTTTGTAAATTTGAAGCTGTTTCTCGTACTCAGGACATAACTTCCAAGTCACCTTGTGGCCTGTCTCCTTGCGTTTATTTCTTACGCAGTTTACGCATTTTGCGTCTTGATCTTTGGAGCATTCAGGCTTAATGTATATGAATTCGCTTTTTGGTTGCTGTTGCACTGTTTGCGTTGGGACTTTATTGGGTGCTCTAGATGCCACATTTGCATATGACTTGTTTGTGGTTCTCTCTTTATATTTGGTCTCTGTTTTTCCGCGCTCTAAAATTTCTTTTTGAAGCATAAGCTCCAAATTAGACCATTTTTCAAGGATGAACTTAATTGCGCCTTTGGACACTTTATTTGAGTCGTTAAAAAGAAAACTTTTAAGTTGTTTTCTTTCAATTTTAACCTGCAGCGACACTAGCTCTCCTACTATTGAAAAATAGTAGTGAAGAGCTACACTAGCCTCCACACTATTAGGGACCCTAATGTGTGGACCCCCTCCACACATTAGGGTCCCTAATAGTGTGGAGGCTAGTGTAGCTCTTTACTACTATTTTTCAATAGTAGGAGAGCTAGTGTCGCTGCAATACCCCCCTGGCGAGTCAATAAAATTGTATTAATTTTACGGCTACCAGGTATATAACCAAAGCAGCTACCGTCCTCGCTCTCTTTTCTCTTCTACTAGTCGAGCAGGCAACACCTAGGAAAACTACGGAGTCCAACCGAGGAATACCAAGAATACCGGAATTCAACCAAGAAGATTTTGTAAATTATTATAATTTTGTAATAAACTTTATTTTTCATTTATAGTGTCTTGATTTTTATATGTGGGACCACCCCACATAATTGGTGACCCCGACGCTGAATTGGAACACATAATTGGTGTGAGCTGAATTACTATAGAGCACTATCCGTACAGAAGACAATAAAAAACAATGAATGAAGACATGCAGGACACTAAAGGGGAACTGGATGCAATCTCACGCACTCCGCATCTACCGCCATTTCTGAGTGAGAAACCGACATTGTGGTTCACAATAGCAGAAGCAATATTTTCTCGATGCCGCATCATCAATGACCTGGCTAAATATGAATTTGTAATATCTCACCTAGATTGCAAATATTTACTCCAGATAGAGGACGTTATAAACTCTCCGCCTGCAGAGAATAAATACATAAAACTAAAGGAGGAATTAATCAAAAGGCTATCAATTTCCGAACGGCAAAGGATAAGACAATTACTTTTGCAAGAAGAACTTGGTGATCGAAGTCCTTCTCAGTTCCTACGTCACCTTCGTTCATTGGTCGGAACAACTACAGTCGACAATTCACTCCTACGAGAAATCTGGATTCAACGACTACCGGTCCAGTCTCAACAAATATTGCAAACCCAGATCAATGGAGACCTAGAAGAACTTGCATCGCTCGCCGACAAAATATGTGAGATTGCACAACCGCAGTAGTCGCAGCAACTAGTAACAACCAACAGCAAGACATCATACAAAAACTAATTGATAAAAATGATCAACTAACACAGCGTGTGGAAGATCTTGCAGAGAAATTAGCCAAGTTCCCCTATCGTAGCAGACTCGACCTATCAGCAAATAGAAACCGTAGCCCATTTCGCCAAGACAGGTCTAACCACTTCTTCAGAGAAATTAGCCAAGTTCACCTATCGTAGCAGACTCGACCTATCAGCAAATAGAAACCGTAGCCCATTTCGACAAGACAGGTCTAACCACTTCTTCAGGCCGAGAAGTACTTCTAGATCGCGCAACCGTAATACATTCTGTTGGTACCACGCCAAATTCGGAAAGAAGGCAAGAAAATGCGAGAGTCATTGTACGTTCAGAGAGGAAAACTCCAACGGCAAGGAGTGATGGCGACCTATCCTTGTTCTTCATCAAGCCGTCGCCTCTTCATAAGTGATCGCAGAACTAAGGTACAGTTTTTGGTCGACACAGGTTCAGACGTTTGCGTGTATCCAAGGCGCTTAACTGCTAAACCTAATCCACAACTAAACTATACTTTGTCTGCAGCCAATGGAACCAACATACGCACGTACGGAGATATTATTTTACAATTAGATTTTGGACTAAGAAGAAATTTTACTTGGAGATTCATCGTAGCAGACGTAACAATGCCTATACTTGGAGCAGACTTTTTGGCGTACTACAATATCATTATTGATATAAAGAATTCTCGTCTACATGACAACCTGACATCACTGTCATCTCCAGGATGTGTCACATTCTCTCGGATACAAAGTGTCAAGTCTATATTTGGAGATAGTGCATACAATAAATTATTAGCTGATTTTCCATCCATCACCAGACCATCAGGCTTGTGTCAAGAAAGCAAACACAAAACATTTCATTATATCAGAACCACTCCAGGACCTCCAGTTTCTTCTAGACCACGGCGCCTCAAGCCTGAATTACTTCGCGTAGCCAAAGAAGAATTTAAGAATATGGTAGAATTAGGCATTGCAAGATCCTCCGATAGTTCTTGGTCTTCACCTCTACATCTGACACAGAAAAAGGATTCGACGTGGCGTCCATGCGGAGATTATCGGCTACTCAACTCACGCACAATTCCAGACAAATATCCCGTTCGTCATATTGCGGACTACGCCCATAATTTAGCAAAATGTACTATATTTTCAGTGATTGACTTAGTGAAAGCCTTTCAGCAAATTCCAGTCCATCCTGATGATATTGCAAAAACAGCAATAATAACACCATTTGGGCTGTTTGAGTTCCCGTATATGACTTTTGGACTGAGGAACGCAGCACAAACATTTCAGCGATTTATAGATGAGGTTACACATGGTCTGGATTTTTGTTACGCATACCTAGATGATATTCTTATATCATCTACATCGTTAGAAGAACACCAAGATCATCTCCGCCAATTATTTCAACGCCTGAAAGACCACGGCGTTGTCATAAATCCAGCGAAATGCGTATTAGGTGCACCCAAAGTTACATTTCTTGGTTATGAAATTTCTAAAGATGGAACTTTGCCACCACAAGACCGTATCAACGATCTCCAAGAATATCCGCTACCGGCAACCTACTCAAAGCTGCGACGCTTCATAGGAATGATTAATTATTATCGAAGGTTTATTCCTCACATAGCTGAATTTCTTGCTCCGCTACACAAGTTGCTCTCAGGATCTACCAAATCTGGATCACAACCAATTTCTTGGACCCCACAGCTTCAAGATAACTTTGAGACTTGTAAGAAAGAATTGGCTAAAGCAACATTACTGGCACACCCTGTTCCAAATGCTCAAACAGCATTATTTAGCGATGTATCCAACCATTCTATCGGTGCAGTATTACAGCAGTACGTCAATGGCACTTGGCAACCTTTGGGCTCCTTTTCAAAAAAACTATCTGAGAAACAACAACTATGGCCAGCATATTATCGAGAACTTTTGGCTGGATACGAAGCAGTGCAACATTTTCGAAGCTTACTGGAAGGCAGACATTTCATTTGGTTTACTGACCACAAACCTTTAATTCACGCCTTTTCCCAGCGAAAAGACAAGCTGCCGCCAATACAATTAAATCAATTAAGTTTTCTGTCGCAGTTTACAACAGATGTTCGCTATGTTAGTGGACAACAAAACATTGTAGCCGACGCTTTCTCAAGAGCAGAAGCCATAACATCGCCTTTGGATCACTCCGTTATTGCTAAATCGCAAGACGAAGATGAAGAATTGGTAACGCTCTTAAAATCAGATACTGCTCTCAACCTGAAACGCATCGCTATTCCAGGAACCAAAGAACAATTATATTGCGACATTTCTCAAAATCGATTACGTCCTTATGTTTCTGCTGAACATAGACGACATATTTTTAATACTCTGCACAATCTATCTCATCCAGGTATAAAAACCACAACTAAACTCATCACGGATAGATTTGTTTGGCCTGGCATTCGCAAGGATTGTAGAACCTGGGCTCGAAGCTGCATCTCATGTCAACGCTCCAAAATTGGTCGGCATATAGTCACACCACTTGGAGAGTTCAAAGTGCCACCCGCCAGATTTCTGCATGTTCACATTGACATTGTCGGACCACTTCCACAATAAAAAGGCTTCAAATACCTATTCACCGCTATAGACCGTTACACACGCTGGCTTGAAGTTTTTCCTCTATCAGATATTACCGCAGAAAGTGTAACCTGGGCTTTCTTGTATTCTTGGATTTCACGCTTTGGTGTTCCTTCTCAAGTAACTAGCGACCAAGGACGGCAATTCTGTTCAGCTGTTTTTCAAGGAGTAACCAAACTACTAGGAATTTCCCACATTCCTACTACAGCATATCACCCGCAATCGAATGGATTGATTGAAAATGCTCACAGGCCACTGAAAACAGCCCTCATGTGCCATGCAGACCCGTCATGGATGGATTCTCTACCAATTATTTTATTAGGAATTCGAGCTTCTGTTAAAGAAGACATTAAAAGCAGCAGCGCCGAATTAGTATATGGAGAGCCGCTTCGTCTACCTGGCGAATTTTTAATCAGCACACGCAAGGAGATACCAACAAGCGATTTCTTGAGAAATCTACATCGACATTTCGAAACAATACATCCAACTCCTACATCTGCACATGGATCGAAAAAGACTTTTGTACATAAAGAACTAAGTAATGCAAAATTTGTATTCCTTAGGGAAGACGCTCTGCGACCAGCGCTTTCTTGTCCATACAGAGGTCCGTATGAAGTCATAGATCGAAACTCCAAAACATTGAAAATTAAAATTGGAGAACGCAATGTGGGAGTATCCATCAATCGTGTCAAGCCCGCTTTCACCACAGAAGACGACCAAAGTACGAGTCCAACTCCATCCAGCGCTACACAACATACCTCCAATCAATATAGAACACGGTTTGGACGGGTAGTTCGTCCTCGCATCCAATAAAATTAATACAATTTTATTGACTCGCCAGGGGGGTATTGCAGCGACACTAGCTCTCCTACTATTGAAAAATAGTAGTAAAGAGCTACACTAGCCTCCACACTATTAGGGACCCTAATGTGTGGAGGGGGTCAGGCTACCAGGTATATAACCAAAGCAGCTACCGTCCTCGCTCTCTTTTCTCTTCTACTGGTCGAGCAGGCAACACCTAGGAAAACTACGGAGTCCAATCGAGGAATACCAAGAATACCGGAATTCAACCAAGAAGATTTTGTAAATTATTATAATTTTGTAATAAACTTTATTTTTCATTTATAGTGTCTTGATTTTTATATGTGGGACCACCCCACAAACCTTATTCAAACTATCCGCAGATAGATTGGTTGTGCTCTCTTTAGGGATTGTAACCCCCTTCTCTACCACTTTCTCTTTAGGGGTTGTATTCCCCTTTTCCACCACTTTCTCTTTAGGGGTTGCATCCCCTTTTTTAGCCACTTTCTCTATAGGGGTTGTATCCCCCTTCTCCAGCACTTTCTCTCGGGTTTTGGCTTCTGCCTTTTCCACGACTTTCTCTTTAGGGGTTGCATCCCCTTTTTTAGCCACTTTCTCTTTAGGAGTTGTATCCCCCTTCTCCAGCACTTTCTCTTGGGTTTTGGCTTCTGCCTTTTGGGCAGCGCCCGTTTTGGACAACGAGTTGTCCGTTTTAATTTTTGATTTTTGGGTGCTCATCATTGTTCCCACGAGTATAGGAGATTAGCAGTCGACCCAGGTAGCGCTCCCAGTGCCTGGGCAAGCCAAGGTGTCGGCTGGTGCCTAGATAGATAGGGACAGTGGGAATCTCGTTAATCCATTCATGCGCGTCACTAGTTAGATGACGAGGCATTTGGCTATTTTTTTTTTTTTTTTTTTTTTGGCTAGGAGGGGAATACATTTATGTACAATGGTCGCCAGGTTGACCAATAGTGTGGGACTCGGCCCGAAGGCAATACCCACTAAACCTAACTCCTAGTATTGTGCCTGGGGGATGTTGAGCGCAGGCAGCACGCGTGCAATCCAGGTGGTCATCCGATTCCTTGTGGCTCGTGTCTTGTAGTCGTTGTTTTTGACCATTTCGCAAATCCGTTTAGTCCTCCGATTATCGCTCTAGTAGAGATTACCTTCAATTCATTCTTATTTAATATCTTCTCCGACACTAGAAAATTAACCGATTCCTCGTGCCAGACACCCCTGATGTTAAGGGTAATCGTGTTGTAAACCACTGTTGACACATTGTATTTCAGTTTCACTACGTCCTCCAGATTTTTATAATGTTCGATCTTCCGTCTGTGGGCTCCGGCCATATTAGTAGAGCTTCCTACAATTTGGGCGTCCAGTACAATTGATTTCTGACCCTGTGACGCGATCAAATCCGGTTTCCGAGTGCCTTCAGGTGTTTTGAAGGTAGGCTCCCAATCAACACGAGAGTGTGATTTCTACAACGCTCGTTTGACGTAGTTACAGACTGCATTGTGTCGTTCTATACGTTGACGA